CTGTCTGTCTGTCCGTCTGTCTGTCTCTCACTGTCTGTCTGTCTCACTGTCTGTCTCTCACTGTCTGTCTCACTGTCTCTCTCTCTCTCTCCGTCTCACTGTCTGTCTGTCCCTCTGTCTGTCTGTCCCACTGTCTGTCTGTCCGTCTGTCTGTCTCTCACTGTCTGTCTGTCTCTCACTGTCTATCTTTCTCAGTCTGTCTGTCTCTCTCTCCTGTGCTTCATCATGTCTGTCTGTGTGGATCAGGTCCGGGATGCTGGAGCAGGGAGTGGACAGGATCGTGGCTCAGGTCGTCGATCCAAAGGTCCATCACTCCTTTCGGCCGCAGGTGGAGCGTGTCGTCCGGAAGTTTCTGTCTCCAAACGGCCACATAGAGGAGGATGAACTTCCTCCTGTAGCTCCGCCCCTTCCTGCGGAAAACCAGGAAGCTGAACTGCTGACCGCAGATGACGGAAATGATGCCGGTGAGCTTCTCACATTTGAAGAATCTACTGTCTTCTCATTACAAATGATCCAGAACTTAAGTTTTCTGGTGTTTCCAGCTGGGAGCTCCGGCGCTGATGTTCAGATCCCAGAGACCAGCGGCACTGACCCGAGCCACGAGCACAAAGAGGAGGAGATGGACATCAGCCTCCCCGAGGAGGAGCAGCACACCGCAGAGACGATGGAGGAGCCGGAGGAACCGCAGCCTGAGGAAGAGGAAGAGGAGGAGAGAAGTGCCGAGCTGAAGATGAAGGACGCGGGGAACAGCAGTAAATCCTCAGGGAAGATCAGAGAGGAGAACCGCGACACTGACTCCCAGAAACCCTCCAGCGTCAAACAGAGGACCAGAGAGAGACTGAGAGAAGGTACGACAGCAAACCCAGTGAATCCTACGTGCCACTTGGTTTTTATGAGCCTTTTTTTCACTCCTCTTGTGTGTTGCACTGATTGTGTTTCATTCTGATGCAGCCAAATACATTTTTAGTGAAGTTTTCATTTAGCAAAGTTGGGTAGTTGAACCCTTTATGCTGTTCAGGGTGTTTTTAGATTAGAAATTAAACTAGTCATGCACTATAAAAATGATTTTTCTAAGTTATAAATAACACAAAGATTACCAGAAAATATTTTTCAAGAAAATACTACTTTGTGTATTTCTTGTCTTTACTCCCTGCAATTATTTGTGAAATTCACTAGCCGTTTCTGAGTGAAAATGGTTTCAAAGTAAGTCCTACACCAAATTGTTTTCAGTCATTGTAAAGTTCTTCGTCAGCGAGTCGCATCTTGATATTTCAACCAAACAAATTGCACTTATAACAATAACATGATTTTTGGTGGCGCTACTGTAGGTTATTTTAGTTTTGGACATGAAGTAGATACTGACAGTTAAAACACCTCATCAGAGAAGCACTAACTAAACATCAATGCTCAATGATTTCGAAATAAATTTATTTATTTTATTTTCTGAAATTTCAGTGCGAGTTTTACTAATGGTATTAGCAAAGCCATTATGTTAAGATTGTGTCTTAAGTACTAGTCTGACCAACTAGCATGTAACCAAGCTTACTTTTCGGTATCAAATTGGACCAATATCTGACTTTAAAGATTTATGACTAGT